TTCGTGGGAGAGGCGAGTCGCCCTTGGGGGTCCGAAGCCGATCCAATCGTTGCGACGCCGATGCATCGGCACGAATCACGGTATTTGTCTAATCTCTGGAGCGCGTTTTTTTATGTTCGGCGATGACGGGCGTCATGGGGGGGGGGAGGGCGGGGGGTGGTATGACGTGACGCGTCCCCCCGCCGTGTGGCTCCGGCACCACAGCCGCGCCCGCGCGCACGACGCGACGAGCGACGAGCGACGACGACGACGCGAGCAGCATGTAAGTGGCGATCTGCCAATTGCGCTTGTGTACACCACAACGCTCGCGTGCACCACACCGCGCGTGTGCACCACAGCGCCTGCGTACACCGCAACAGCCGTGTGCAACGCACCGCCCATGTATACCACAATACTTGGGAGCCATACAACGCCGGTGTACATACACCGCAGCAGCCATGTGCAACACAACGCCTGTGTACACCACAGTGTTTGCGTGCACCGCAGCGCCTGTGCACGCCACAGCGCCTGTCTACACCACAGCATCCGCGTGCAACGCAGCGCTGGTGTACACCACAGTGCCTGCATGCAGAGGACGGGTAGAAGGAGCATGTACGTCAGGATCTGCTGCGGACAACTAAACGCCACGCCAGGAAGATTCTGATAATCAAATGCGACGTTTTCCCTCCTCCTTCCTCCTCCACCTCCACCTCCTCCTCCTCTTCCTCCTCCTGTTCCTCCTTCTTACCCCCTGTCGCGCGGCTTGGCGTTAAAACGCAAGTGCGCATTTCAGCGTGCACCGCAGAATGGTCGATTTCATCGGTCCACTTGGTTCTCGGACGGCCAGTTTGGCTGGAGCCTCCTGGACGCAAATGGGAGTTAGTGTGATGCGGGCGAACTCGGGGGGATTCGTAGATTCCAGCGGCGCTCCTTTGTCCATGAGGATTGTTTTCCATTGTTTTCTCTGGAATCCACACGCGCTCCATTTTGTCACAAGGACTCCTTCTGAAATTCTATACACATCAATGGTGCTGTGTGGCACGCGGCTGACGTGGTGCACACAGGCGCCGTGGCGTACACAGGCACTGCAATGCACGCAGGCATTGTGGTGTACACTGGTGCTGTGTTGCACTCGGCTGAGTTGGTGTGCGGAGGCGCTGTGGTGTACACAGGAGCTGCTGTGCCCGCAGGCACGGTGGCACAAACTGACGCTGTGTTGCACGCGGCTGCTGTGGTGTACATCGGCGGCGTGGTGTACACAGGCGCTGTGGTGCACGCGGGCACTGTGATGTACACAGGCGTTGTGGTGCATATCGCCACATACATGTTCGTGCTACCCGTCCTCCGTCATTCCTACGCATTCCCAGACGCCACCGGCGCGAAACGTGACGTCATCGACCCCCTCCCCCCCAGATGATTGCCGTCATCGGCCCGGATTTAAAAACAGGCTCCAGCCGCGCCCGCGCGCACGACGACGATGAGCGACGAGCGACGAACCACGAGCGACGACGACGGACGACGGCGACGGCGACGACGACGACGACGACGACGCCTGCGGACCAGACACCTATGCGGATTCCTACGCGGACACCTACGCGGATCCAAATGCGCACGGCGGCAGTGCCCGGAGCGCACTGGGGGGGGAGCGTTACGTCATAGGGGGGGGGGGACTGGGGGCCATGACGCCCGTCATGCCCCAAGCAATAAAGAAACGGGCTCCTGGCGACCTGCACCTTGGCCCCGTTGCTTCGCAAAACCATGGTTTGCTTCGATACCGCTGAGCCTAAGCTACCAACGTCCAACCCTGTTTGGCCCTGGCCAGCCAGGGATCTGCTCCACCTCTGGCCCCAGGTGCCGAGGTTCTCCCCGCCCTCCCTTCCTGAACACGCCTGCGATCGCTCTCCTCTGGCCGCGAGTGTCCCCCAAGGCTGCCAGGATCTTTTGTTTGGATGGGCTGGTGGGGGTAATTACGCGAAGCGTCAAGAACACAATCTCTCGGAAGTCCGCGCGGTTTCTTGGATCGTCGCTGGACCTCCCTCCCTTGTACGCGGAGCGCGCCGGGGCGGCGCTGGAGGCGCCGCCAGAGGAGGCCAACGCCGATCCAGGAGCCCGCGCGAAGCTCGCAGAAATCATGTTGCTGCAGCTTTTGTGTCGCGATGTTCCTTCTCTCGAGGACCAGGAAGGCGAGGACGCGGGAAGTGCAGCGGCAAGTGGAGACCTGTTGCACCTCGGATTCACGTCGGATTCTCGTCGAAGATGATCGGATTCACGTCGGCCGCACGTCCGAACATGGCCGCGCGAACGTCAGCCCAGATCTGACGGGGCGGATGTGCGGACTGGAGTGCAGCTGCTGCGCGCCGCGCAGGGCCTCTAGAGTTCCCTCAGAAGGAATTGCGTTTGCGCAACACCTCGCCCTCGAAGACCAGGATGGCGAGGACGAGGGGAATGCAACGGCATGGCTATCCCCTCACCTGGGAAAATTAAAAGGTTGCAACACCGCTACTTCCTGGACCTCTCGCGTGGTGCCTTCTGACCAGGATGTCGAGGCGGATCCAGCGGTGGTGACGACGGCCTCCCAAGAGGCCCAAAACGGGGTAAACGGGGAAGGGTAGCGGTATGCATACCCTTTCCTCCTCCGACCTCATCCTCCGACGCGATAAGGGTACCCTTTCCTCCTCCGACCTCATCCTCCGACGCGCTCCGCCGCGGCCGCCGCCGCCTGCAGCGCGCCCTCCGCCAGCACGAAGCCGTCGTTTGCTCGCCGGACCGCGGCCGCCAGCGCCGCCTCCGCCGACGCCGCGGCCTGCGCGGGCGGCAGGAGCCCAGGGCGCACGATCGAGCCGTGCCAAACTGACTACGTACCAGACCACCCCAACCCAACCCGAAGACCCGAATTTCGGGTTGGGGGGGGGTAAGGGTTCCACACGTGTTTTTGCGATGTTTCCCGACACCCCCCCCCCCACTGGAAATCGAGGGTAAATCTGAGCCTTCGGGTTGGGTTGGGGTGGTTTGGTGGGTGGTGAAAAACCACGGCGGGCGGCTTTGGGCCGTTTTCGGCCTCTGGGGCCCTCGCTAGGGGGAAAACACACCTACCTCGCTTTTGACCAACCTCGCTTCCAAGAGATACCAAACGATGCCAAACTACGGCATGTACTGGTCAGGCCGCTTGACGAGGAGGCGCGTGGTATGACTTGGTTGCGCCTGGAAGCGAAAGCGGGGTAGGTAATTCACGCTCTGACGACTCGCCGCCCCGCCCGTACCCCGGGGCCTTCAAAAAACGACCCGGGATGAAACACCGGCTGGGGCGCGAATTCATGGAGGGACGAAAAAAAGGGAGGGGGGGAGAAAGGTGCCCTTCTTAAGCCCTGAAGGCCTGCTTCTGGGCCCGACAGGGCCCCTTGAGGCTTGAGGGGCCCTAGAGGACCTCTGTTCGGCAGCCCTCGCTGCCCCCCCACAATCGTCCCCCAATGCGCGTCCTCCGACCGGCCCTGGGGAGAGGGGTCCAGGGTACCGCGCATTCAAAAATTAGAAAGTCACTGCCGTCGTGGACGGGCGGCAGCTTGCCGGTTCGTGGAAGCAACCTGCAGATGCCTTACAGCTGTTCGGGGAACGAGAGACGGCACGGATGGAGGGCGGGGCCCGATTCTAAAATGAGGTTCTCGCCTTAGCGCCGCGTGCGTTCGCCTGGAAAGCTTGCAACAATTACAGGGTGGGGGATGGTTCCTTGTCAACATGGTGCCATCAACCTTACAAACCAGAAACTTGAACATGTGTAACCGCTGCACGAATGGAGGGCGGCTGATTGTAATCACGGGGATCTTGCCTACACGAAGTGCATAGCCAGAACTGAAAGTTGATGTGACAGTGTAACAGTTGCGCAAGTGTGGGGCGGCTCTTTCTCAAAACGGGGACCGAGCTAGTGCTTCAAGGGGACGTTTCTTGCTGTGAACACAAAGGCGTGTTTGCAGTGACTTCTGAGGATGAAACTTGAGACGGGAAGGTATATTGCAGTATCGTTGATGCATCTTGGGTGGTTTACTCTGGTCCTCCTCCCTCCTCCTCCCTCCGCACTCCTCCCTCTCTCCCTCCCCTGTCCTCCCCCTTATCCCACTTCTCCTGAGGAGGAGTGGGAGGAGAAGGAACGGAGAGGAGGATGACCTCAGCAGGCCTCATGTGCACGTGATCAAGCTACAGTCTGTAAGCTCAGCCGACGCCAGGCTACAAAAGCAGAGACCATCACGACTGGACCCAATCAAGAGGAGGAAGCGGAGGCGGAGGTAGAGGATGGACGGAAGACAGGGAAGGAAGCGAGGGGAAGGACTAGCCCAGCCGACGGGTGGTCCCTGGGGACAGCCCCACAATGAGCCTCGAATGCTCGGCACTCCTACTAGGGGTGGCTGACACCTGTGAAGGAACAATTTACCAGCACGGCTGCTGGCGAGATCTCCACGTTCAACACAATAAAACACTGGGATGCCTGAGCTGGCCGTCCAGGCAATCACTATGGCCCAGTGCAGCTTACGCCCCGAGTCCCCACCACAGGGGGAGGGAGAGCAGAGACGGGCTCGGGGCATCACAGTGGGTCTAGGTAGAGGGCGTGGCAACACTCGGACAGTGCTTACACCTCATCACCGTCCTGTGGGACAAAAGAGTGCTGTGGACTGAGCTGACGAGGCAACTTTGCCTTCATGGGCCTCGTGAGCTTCCCGAATTGAGATTCCCATGACGGAAACGCCTCCAGGAGATGCAGGACTCCGAAAACCAGGCTTTGTCTTCAACGTCTTCCCCCTCACAACCAACAAATTCCTAAGGATCCAGGTCGTGCGGGCCGCGCTTTTGGCCCACCAATCCACAACATTTGAGCCTTCAATGTCCCGCAAATCACTCTGATCCACCGCGTCAGAACCTTGTGGGTCTTGATCTTCCTAAGGGTCGCCCAGGCACCAGAACCCATGCCACGAGCAGTAAGCAATAGCAGCGGACCTCCTAACGAAGCCCCGCCTTACGGCTCCCCTCACAGCCCTAGACTCCTCGTCCTTCTCTTCTCCTGCTTCTCTTCTCCTCTTTCCTCTCCTCCTTCAAGGCGTTCAAGATGCGGATTGGTTCAGACCCCCCTCCTTCTCCTCCTCCTCCTCCTCCTCCTCCTCCTGCCCCTCGTTCGCTCCAGAGTCGCGCAGCTCCAGAGAGCCGGGCGCGCAGCTCCAGAGTCGCGTGCGGGGGCAGAGGAGTGGCGATGGCAAGGGCCCAGACGCCTCCGAACGGTGGCCTCGAGACCGCCGGCCCGAGGCCCCAGGCAGAGAGAGAGAGGTGAGATCTCGTGCCAGGCCCGCCATGCTTGCTACGCTGCCCTTGCTCGGGCCGAGAGGCCGCGGCGTCTGCGTCGCGGGGGGTCACGTGCCTGCGGCCCCACGCGCAAGCCGAGAGGCCGCCACCGCCCAGGCGCCTTCCTCACACTGGCAGTGAAGGCAAGCCTTTTCCTCCTCCTCCTCCTCTTCCTCCTCCTCCTCCTCCTCCTCCTCCTCTTCCTACTCCTCAGCCCGCTCCTTCTCTCGCTCCCGTCACCCATCGAGGATAGAGGCCCTTGTGAAGGGAGCAAGGAGTGAGGGAGGGAGGACGGAGGGATGAGGAAGAACGGAGGGAGGAGGGAGGAAGGCAGGGAGAGGGAGGGGGGAATGAAGGAGGCAGGGAGAGGAGGGGAGGTGAACCAGAGAAGACATCGGATCTCAGGGTTGGTGAGCCCTGCAGCTCAGCGGGGCGAGCGCATGTCGGGCGCACAGGAGTGAAAGAGGTAACTACGGCACGGCAACGACCAAACGAACCAAGATAATGCGAGAAACAATAGATCTGCAGACAGAGAGTGAGAGTGCAAAATAAAGAAAGAAGAGGGCAAGCGGAAAAGGAAGAGAGAGAGAGAGAGAGAAAAACGGGTTCTTCCTTACCCCTCCTCCTACTCCTCCGAATGGCGCGCGACCAGCCAGTGCCACTCGCCAAGGCGCGTTACCAGGAGCCGCAAGATACTGGGGCGTTCGATGCCTTTCCCCCGAGCGGTTCTGCGCCGCGCATGCGTTTGTGGCACTGCTGGGTCGCGAGGGCGGCTCCGTCCTGGAGGCTGAGATTGTGGAGAAGAAACACACACAGGGAGGAGCATCACGACGTCTCCCCTCTCTAGAGGAACAAACAAGATTAAGCATGCACATGAATTGCAGTCCACCCGCATGCAAAGACCTTGGAAGACCATGTCTCGACACTTTGCGAGCAGGGCGCGGCCAGCGAACGTTGCCAATGCTGGGCCAGAGGGGACAGGATGCAGAGGGCAACCTTGGAAAGCTGTGGATCCTTACTACGCGGGCGAACTGCTGATTAGGTCTGCGCGGATCTCTCCGATCGGCGCCGGAGGCGCCGCCAGGGGGGGGGGGGGGCACCGCCGAAGGAAACCGCGCAGACCTGTAAGACATTATGTTTGTGCACCTGTGTTTTTCTTCGGCTCTCTCTCCCTCTCTCTCTCTCTCTTTTTCTCTCTCTCTCTCTCTCTCTCTTTCTCTCTCTCTTTCTCTCTCTCTTTCTCTCTTTCTCTCTCTCTCTCTCTTTTTCTTCGACTCTCTCTCTCTCTCTCTTTCTCTCTTTGGGCGCACGTCTTTCCAATATGCCTGCGGTCGGGGGTAAATCCGGTCTGGGCCCCCGAGGCACGAACCCGTAGCTACCCCCTGCCAGCCCCTAGCCAGGATGATTCGGGAGGGGTGGCCGCCCGAATTATCCAGGATCACTGCGGTCTGGGGCAACTCCGATTTGAAAGAACGCGTTTCGTGCACGCTCGCCTGGAACAAAAACACCTCGACACGTTGGAACCGCCGGGCCCCCCCCCAGGAGAAAGATAGGAGGGGATACCAGCCTCCCTAATCGGAGGGGCCCACCCCCCAAAGAGGGAGGGGGTTCGACCCGGGAGGGGGAGACACCCCCCTGTCCAGAGGAGGGGTTCGAACCAAAAGGGTCCCCCCCCCCCTGAGTTGCGAGGGGGAGGGAGGGCTTCGAACCGCGGGGGGACGCCCCTGATTTGCAAGGGGGGGGGGAGTTCGAAATAGGCCGTCGTCGTCGTCGTCGTCGTCGTCGTCGTCGTCGTCGTCGTCGCTGCTGCCCGACGGCGACGGCGCCTGCGCTCCCCGTCACCTGCAGGGGGAGGCCCCCCTCGACGTCGCTGCCCAACGGCGCTGGCGCCGGCGCTCGCCGTCGTCGGTTGCAAAGGGAGTGGCCTCCTGATTCGACCCCCCCCGCAACTCGCAGGGGGGGGCCTATTCGAAGCACCACCCCGACAGAAGGGGGGCGCCCCCCCCCCTCCTGGACAGGCAGAGGGGGGGGGGCGCCCTCGGTTCGAACGCCCACCCACCCCTTGCAACGGAGGGGGGGCATCCCCCCGTTCGCACCCCTGCCTCTTGAGGCGGCCCCCTCCCTGGTTCGACCCCCCCGCTTAGCCGCCCTCCCCCCCCTCGCCATCGCTCGGACATTCATTCCCTGTTTTTTGTCGGTTTCGTGCGTGGTTTTTTTTCCGCCAAATGATCAAGGATGCTCCTCGATGGTTCTCCCCGAAAAAAAATGCACACGTCCGGGCGATGCCAGGCCCCTTGCATCTCAAAAGGGCCCTCCCCCCTGGTTGAACCCCCCGTCCCCAGCGTCCACAGAACGCGCTCTCTGTCTCTAGATCTTCCTCTGACTGCCCCCAGCCCTGACGACTCGGGGCTCTGATTCTCTCTCTCTCTCTATCCCGCCTTTTGACCCTCCGCTCCTCTCCCTGGCCATCGCTCGGACGCCCATTCCCCGTGCATGCTTCGACTTCGCGCGCGCATGCTTCGCAAGGCGACCCGAGATGCTCCTCGAGAAAGGCACACGTCCAGGCAAATGGCAAATGGCAAGCCCACAGGGGCCTCCTCCGTCGAGGAGGGCATCATCGACGATGACTGCCTGGTGGTCGGGCCCGCCTGGCGGCCGGGACGGGGAGACGAGCGAGGCGGGGCGGCAGGACGGCAGAGGCGGGAAGGAACTGCGGGCAAGACTCGTGCCCATCTCCGCAGGCACCTGGGGATGAGCCGTTTGGAGGCATTCCCACGCGGCGCCGGCGCGAATCGTAACGTGACCAGCCCCGTCGCCCCGCCCCCTCTGGTCGCACCCGCTATCGCCATGGATCGCAACGGTCTCTAACTGTTCCGATCTTTCGGGGGGGCAACAGCAGCAGCGATGAGACGCCAACGTGGGTCAACCATGAGCGTGAAGAAAATTGGAGAAACGACAGACTTCGGGGCAAAAGGGCAAAAGCGAAGGAGTAGCACGCTGACAGGCTACCCAGGACAGCGTGTCATGGATATCTTATATCCCTGCTGCGCCCCGGGTGGAGGTCCAGCGGAGTGATGCAACACGGGAAATAGAACCCTGCCCTGGATCCCACCTCTGGGAGCTGCCAGGTACGCACGCGTCGTGACCCCTGCTGCGAGGAGGGGGGGAGGAACGGAGGAGGGGGGAGGATAGGGAAGAGCAGCGGGGGGGGAGGAGGAGACGAGGAGGAGTATGATGAAAGGGAGGAGGAAGAGGAGGAGGAGGAGGAGGAGGAGGAGGAGGAGGAGGAGGAGGAGGAGGAGGAGGAGCGGCAGTGCCCGGGGCGCACTGGGGGGGGAGCGTTACGTTGTATGGGGGGGCGCCAGGGGCTATTTTGCCCGTTATGCCCCAAGCAACAAAGAAACACGCTCCTGCGAGCACGAGGAACGCAAGAGAGACAACCACGCGCGCACCTATCCCGAGATCCGGACGTCTCAATTTTCTCGAGCCGGGCGTTTTCGCTCGGTTCTAGGCCGCTGGATCCTCACATATCGATCTGGCTAGACACCTGGCGCAGAAAGATTGGGTCCAGGGGCTCTGGACGAGATTTATCACGATGCTGCATGTTTTCGCTCTGTCGGATCTCAAGGAGCCAAACCCGAGCTTTCCCTCATTCCAGCCTCTTCGCTGCACCTCTGGTAGGTCATGCTCGTCCGCCTCCCCCTCCTCCTCTCCCCCGAGGCCAATCTGTAGCTCGTGAGGGCTTGTGGCCCGCATCGCCGGTTCTAGCATCCAGCTACAATTGACCGTGCACTGGCCTGTGCTGATGGCACTCTTGCCACCGCACGTGCTTCAGCAACATCGGTGTGAACTGGTTGCCGCATGCCAGCAAGGCTTGTCATAAAGCAGCAGCAGATTCCCTGACCATTTTCCACCATTTGGGACCACACCCCACGAGTGCGCAACAACGCACGTAAGTGCAACACCCACGACATTCCCGCGTGCCCGGTCAGTCTTTCATACTTGTTACTCAGGTCTGCGGATGCTTCACCCTCATCCCCCCCTCTCCTTATCACCCCTCCTGCTCCTCATCCTGCGGATCATCACAACGGTCCTAGATATGTCCTTCTCTCTCTCTCTCCCTCTGCCTGCCTGCCTCCTGTCGGTTTGCTTGCCTGCCTGCCTTGATGCCTGCCTGTCTGTCTGCCTGCCTGTCTGTGTGGCTGTCTGCGCGCGCGCGTGTATGTGCGTGTGTTTCTACGCCCTGTCGCTTCGCGCGGGGCCGCGACGCCATATATATATGTATATATATAACATATGTGCGTGTGTGTGTGTGTCTGTGTGCGTGTGCGCGCGTGCGTGAGTGCGTGTGTGTGTGTGTGTGTGTGCGTCTGTCTGCCTCTGTCTCTATCTCTATCTCTCTACATCTCTGTATGTATCTTTCGTTCTTATGTTGTTTCTCTCTCTCTCTCTCTGTCTCTCTTTGTCTCCACCTCTCACACCCCTCCATCAACCTCCGACGCCACCCCAAACCAGGAACATCCTAAAACAATCGGACATCCTCCAAGCATCCCCACAACCAACACTGGCCACTTCCCTTCACAAACATGTTCTCCTCCCACACTCTCCACCTCCTACCCCCCCTCTCCTCACATCCTCCTTCCCCTAGGCCCCCTCTCCAAACATCCGTTATTTTGATGTTTCAAATGCGGGCTCCCCGGAAGTCCCAACACTTTCTTCGGGCCACAACTTTTCATCGTGGGTCGCTGCTGGACGGCACTGTAGCCCGGTAAGAGGCTCGAGAAGTCGAAAACGACGACTAAACTCAGTACCCTCCTCCTCCACTCCTTCTCCGCCGACGAAACAAGCACCGGAAACGACAGGCGACGGCAGGCGACTACGCTCAGCGATCCACGACGGTGGGAACTCTCGGCGGACCGACTGGCCTTCACGTCGTCCAGGGCGTTGCCGAGCTCCCTGGCCTTCGCCGTCCTCTTGTCGCCCAGCGTGCCTCCCATGGGCCCCAGAGGCGAAAGTTGCTAAGGCCAGGCTAACGGCGATGTTTCTTAACGGTGATGTTGGGAACCACATTGTAGGACATCACGAACCACACTTTCCTACATCTCCTATCTGCGAACGGATCGAGCGAGCACGACACAGCGAATTGCAAGAAAGCGCGAGCCACGCGTTCCAACAAGACCGAAACATACATCGCCGTTAGCCCGTCTACGGAGTTGGCTGTTCTCGGCGGCAAAAGGCACAGCGTCACCGTCGCTGCTGAGGATAGAGGCTCGATGTGTTTTCTGCTGTCCCTGCATTCAGGTGTTGCTCGAAGTGGCCCTGGCCCAGGGTGACCCCAGCCCTTCAAGCGGGCCCTGGAAACGACAGGGCCATCTTTGTTACGGGTTCCGTTCTGCTGTTTCTGTTTTCTGGGTTCCGTCGCCGTTTTCTTGCCGTCGCCGTCGTTTTTCCAGTTTCGGCTCCAGTTCCACGTCTGGCAATGTTTTTGTTGCCGTTTCTGGTTGCCGTTTCGTTACCCTTTCCATGCTCAAGAAACACGTGTTCGGAAACGGTGAAAAACGGCCCTGCCGTTCCCAGGGCCCACCAAACCCCAGCTTTGACAGGGAAGCGCAGGGGGCTTTCAGAGCACCCCTCACGAGGCCCAGGGGGGCCCAGACGCCCCGCAGTGGAACGAAAAGCTGGGGGCACCTTGGGTCGGGACCACTTCTAGCAACGTGCGACGTTGGCGCCTCGACGGGAGCTTCTCGTCGCTGCAACCGGATTCCACTCACTTGCCATCGCTCGGACATACAATCACCACACATGCTTCGGCTTCATGCGTTGACTTTTTCGCATGATGAGCCAAAATGCTACTCGATGGTCCTCGCCGAGAAGAAGAACGCACATCCGAGCGATGTCAAGCTCAAGATTCCGGCCAGGAAGCCGGCAGCAAGGCGCCCCCGGACCATACCCTCTGCACCTGACCAGATGCCCAGGAGGGAGACCCTGGACCCAGAAGGGCCCAGCAAACCGGGCGGCTTGAGAAAACGAGGCGCCTGCTCCCGTCCCTGGAGGGGCAACAACTTGCCATCGCACGAACGTCCATTCCCCGTGCATTTGTGCATTTGTCGGTTTCGTGCTTTTCTTTTTCTGCAGGATGATTGAGGACGCTCCTCAATGATCCCCGCCGAGAAAAATGCACACGTCGGAGCGATGCCAAGACAAATTGCATAGACGTGAGCTTTCGGAACTGCGCACAAATTCCTCGGACCTGCGCTGGGCCCCCATTCCCGGCGCACGGAGCGCGCCAGGGGCGGTGCCAGAGGCGCCGCCAGGGGAGTCCAGCGCCGATTCGAAAAATCTGGGCGGACCTTAGAAAATTCATGCCTGTGCAATGTTTTATCGTCGAGTCATGGGCGACGACGACGGCGCTGCGTCCTCTTGCGCCCCAGCGCCAGCGCCCATACCTATCGCAAGGTTCGTCCAAGGGGGGTCCAGCCGCGGCGGCGAGTTGCGCCTGTAGGCGCTCGGGCCCCCCTCCCTGGCGGAGAGCACCAGGGGGGCCAGCGACGATCCAACAAATCCCCGCGGACCTCCGACAATTTCTGACATAAAGCTCTCTTTTAGGGGTTCGCACCTGCAAGGCGGTAGCCCTTCCACACTGCTACACCCTCACCCTCTTCCCCCCCCCCCCCACCTCCTCCTGCGCCTCCTCCTCCTCCTCCTCCTCCTCCTCCTCCTCCTCCTCCTCCACCTCGCTCCAACTCCTCCTCGTCCTCATACCACCCTTCTTCCTCCGTCCTCCTCCTCCTCGCCCCTCCTCCTCCTCCTCCTCCTCCTCCTCCTCCTCGTCTCCTCGTCCTCCTCGTCCTCCTCGTCCCTCCCTCGTCCTCGTCCTCCTCCTCCTCCCTCCTCCTCCTCCTCCTCCTCCTCTCCTCCTGCTCCTCCTCTCCTCCTGCTCCTCCTGCTCCTCCTGCTCCTCCTGCCCTCCTCCTCGTCCCTCCTCGTCCTCCTCGTCCTCCTCGTCCTCCTCCCTCCTCCCTCCTCCTCGTCCTCGTCCTCCTCGTCCTCCTCTCCTCCTCGTCCTCCTCGTCCCTCCTCGTCCTCGTCCTCCTCCTCCTCCTCCTCCTCCTCCTCCTCCTCCTCCTCCTCGTTTTCTTCCTCCTCCTCCTTCTCCTCCTCCTCGTTTTCTTCCTCCTCCTCCTCTTCCTCCTTCTGCTGCTCCTCCTCCTTTTGCCTATTCGGATGCAGCGCGCACGGCCGAACCAGTGGGTTCAGCCACGAGGCGCTTCGGCTGGCCGCGGAGCGGGCCAGCCCGTTGGCGGCACAGCGGGCCGACGAAGTGGGCCCATTTCGTGGACCTCCCTCTTCTCGGCCTCTGTCTGGAGTCGCGCATTTACCTCTTCCTCGCCCCTCCCAATCTCTCCCGCGCCCCCCCCCCGCCCCCTCCCCAGGGCCAAAAACGTCCAAATATGCGCCCCTCGAACGGAAGGGGAAAAAGTCTGGTCTTCCTCTCCTTCCTCCTCGTCCCCCTTCCCCCCTCCTCCTCCTCATCCTCCCCGCCTTTTTCCGCGTCGCCCTCAACAATCACACACTATGAACACGACTCTGCTCTCCCTCTCTTCTGACGCTGCCCAGGGGTGCGCCCTCTTCGCGTACTGTTGGTTCTCCTTTTCTAAAAACAGAATGACCCCCCCATCCTTGTTCCTTATTAGAATATACCCCCACCTACGTCGTATTCCGGCCGATAGCGAGCCAATCCGCGACCTCCCATCCGGACTGTAAACAATCAATACAAAGTGGCAGTTTGTTTTCAACATCTTCTTTCTTGTCGTCGACGATGCGAAAAGCGTGGCAGGAATGGGACGCGGCGCACATCGCGCGCGGCAGTCAATCTGGGCCCGCCCATCCTGACTGCAAACAATCAATACAACGGCTTCGCTTTTTCATCTCAGCATGGCCTGCCTTGTCGCTGACGGTGCGAAATATGTGGCAGCAGTGGGACGCGGCGCACATATGGGACGCGGCGCACATCGCGCGCGGCCGTCAATCCGGGCCCGCCCAACCTGACTGTAAACAATCCATACAACATCTCCGCGTTTTCCTCTCAGCATGGCCTGCCTTGTCGCCGACGGTGCGAAACATGTGGCAGGAATGGGACGCGGCGCGCATCGCGCGCGGACGTCCATGCGGGCCGCGGGCCCTCCCATCCTGACTTTAAAATTTGCTTGGCGAAAGACCCAACCATATGCAGTTGTGGGTATCGCATTCGGGGAAGCCCCCTATGGGACCACGAAACGCTGTACTGGGTGGGTGGGGGACTGCGCCACTGGACCCTTCGGTGGAGCTCTCTATGGGGCCACGAAACGCTGTACTGGACGCATGCGAACTGCGCCACTGGGACCTTCGGGGGAGCTACCTATGGGGCCACGAAGCGCTGCCCTGGGTGGGGGGGGGAAGGGGGGCGCATGCGAACTGCCCGACTGGGGCCTTAGGTGGAGTTCCCTATGGGGCCACGCAACGCTGCCCTGGATGGGGGAACCGCATGCGGGCTGTGCCACTGGGACCTTCGGTGGAGCTCCCTATGGGGCCACGAAACGCTGCCCTGAGTGGGGGGAACCGCATGCGGGCTGTGCCACTGGGACCTTCGGTGGAGCTCCCTATGGGGCCACGAAGCGCTGCCCTGGGTAGGGGGAACCGCATGCGGGCACCCCACTGGGACCTTCGGTGGAGCTCCCTATGGGGCCACGAAACGCTGCCCTGGGTGGGGGAACCGCATGCGAACACCCCCACTGGGGCCTTCGGTGGAGCTCCCTATGGGGCCACGAAACGCTGCCCTGGGTGGGGGAACCGCATGCGGGCTGTGCCACTGGACCTTCGGTGGAGCTGGGGCTACGAAGCGCTGCCCTGGGTGGGGGAACCGCATGCGGGCTGTGCCACTGGGACCTTCGTGGAGCTCCCTATGGGGCCACGAAGCGCTGCCCTGGGTGGGGGAACCGCATGCGGCTGGTGCCACTGGGACCATTCGGTGGAGCTCCCTATGGGGAAGCGCTGCCCTGGGTGGGGGAACCGCAACGCTGTGCTGGGGGTGGGGGAACCGCATGCGGGCTGTGCCACTGGGACCTTCGGTGGAGCTCCCTATGGGGCTACGAAACGCTGCCCTGGGTGGGGGAACCGCATGCGGGCTGTGCCACTGGGACCTTCGGTGGAGCTCCCTATGGGGCTACGAAACGCTGCCCTGGGTGGAGGAACCGCATGCGGGCTGTGCCACTGGAACCTTCGGTGGAGCTCCCTATGGGGCTACGAAGCGTGTGAGGGGTGTGCCGAAAGCAGAGGCAAGGAGGGGGAGTAGGGAGGAGGCCGAGGAGGGGGAGGAGGAGGAGGAGAGGCGGGACGCGGGGCGCTGTCTCTTCAAAACGAGGACCCAACACCACAGGATGGTTCGGAAAAACAATACACAGTTGCCGTTTTTCCTTTCATCATGGCCTGTCTTGTCGTCGACGATGCGAAATGCGTGGCAGGAATGGGGCGCTGCGCACATCGCGCGCGGACTTCTGGGGGAACCCCAAGGCGGGAGGGGCCACCGTACTTGTCAGAAGCAATGCCATGCTGATTCTCGCTTGCACACATGGCTGTTCTTGTCGTCCAACCCGCAAAAGAGCATGGCAAGAATTGGGCGCGGCACACCCCCCCCCCGCTCGAAGTGAATGAAATGACCTTCTCGCTTGGGCGCCGAGCGAAATGTTTTCAAAGTTGCGCTCCCGCTTTGGCTCGGCGCACGTTTTTAGCTCGCCAATTCATTGGGCGCCGGGGCGTTCCAGGAGGCCCTGGGGTGACGAATGCCTGGGAGGTTTTTGCTTGTTCAGGCTCTTGGAGGGCCTCCTGAGGTTCCCCGAGGCTTCTTGGCGCTACGGCCGTCTGGAGGTCATCTTGGGCGTCTTGGAACGATCTTTCGCCGACTCAGGGCTACTACTACTACTACTACTACTACTACTACTACTACTACTACTACTACTGCTACTACTACTACTACTACTACTACTACTACTACTACTACTACTACTACGACTACTACTACTACTACTACTACTACTACTACTACTACTACGACTACTGCTACTACTACTACTACTACTACTACTACTACTACTACGTACTAC